TGGTAGTCTCTTTTAAATGGCATTCACCTGTCTTGATGTCTTTGGTGTTGTTCTTGGAGTTAGTCGGTACATGATGTCACCCCAGAAATCTGTTACGGGGTGAACAAGCTTATTAGATACGTTCACATATTCCTACAGCGATCCCTTTTCATCTTCATCTTCCACGGAACTCACAACCTATTCTGCTTTGGTCGTTTCTGTAATGCTTTGTTTTCCAGACTGCTTAATTTTTCAAGAAATGCCTAAACTTTTATGAACTTAACAAAAATTTTATTTATTATTTTTGCTCCATGCAGAATACAAAGTAAAAGTATTTATGTCTTCTACAAAAGAGGCACGATATCATGAGCCAAACGAAAATGTTATAGGCATCAATCATTGGACACCAGAATGTGTTAAAGAGAAAGGCTAGTTAGTTTTACTGCTATAGAAAATGGAGGTTCACCATTATTTCCTTTTTGACGCACAGCATAAACTAGCACCATTTGCACATTACTCAAAAAAGAAGGCAAATTTGTGAAAATACATATTGAGTATCTAACTGCATTCCTCTGAAGATGATAGACCAGCTGGAATATATTCCAACTCCAATTGAACTGCTACATTAAAAACAGATCACATTGCTGTATAGATTCCCCTTTCTATTTTTAGATTCTTGTGTTCAAATCTTTTGTTGTTGAGGCAGTGGATGATAATTAGTAAGGCACTGGTTAGATCTCATCCACCATGAGGTGATGATGCTCTTTGCCATTGATGGTTCTTGCAACTTATTGATCACAAAAAGCCAAGGGAAATATAGAAGGAAGCTTCAGAGCCACCTCTTTAATGGTCTCTTTAAGCTGGAGTTCGATAATGTCTTCATGTGGAACATGGTAGAGGTAAAATTTGAAGGTATTTTTGATAATGCATCCATGGTCACAGTTTTGGACATCACTATACTATGGAAGGGGGTATTTTGGTCACAAACGTGCTGGCATCTTTGTATTTCTCTGTACTATGAAAGGGGACACTGAAAACACCATTAAGTTGACATAGGACCCCTATATGTGCTCTTGATGTCTTACCAGAATATTTGCACATCATTATAATCTCTTTCTTTTTCTGTCACACCAGTAATAATGTGATTGTGAGGACAGGTAAGAAAATCGATGAGTGAATGTAACATAGTATATTAGGAATTAAGTTTAAGTTGTGTTGAGGTTATGGCCTTTCAAGGCCTTAAGACGCCAGTTTTTATAATTCTTGTATGCAGTGGGAGTGGATGAGAACACCATGACTTGCCAGATCTTTGTAAGATGGGATCTAGTGTCCTTAGAGTCACAACACCCTGGATCATGAGGTGAGTGTATAAGGGACGATAAGGCAAAAGGGTCGAGGGTTATCCCTAGTAAGGGTCGGTGAGAAAATACCTCATGATCATTAGAACCATGGCACGAGTATGCCTGTTATAAATGTCATGGATATGAGAATTTCTGTAGCTCGAGTTTTCCTATGAGAATTTCTTGGAGCCCTGTGTGAGATGGTTAGGCTTTAAGAGGACATAAACGAAATCCCTAAACTCGAACTGAATCACCACATGTGCATGGACACTTGCAAATAAGAAGCCACTCTTTTCAGTCCTAATCCGCTGGAAAGAGCTACGCACATGTGCAATCCAGAGAAAGTGCCTGATTATCCAATTTCATTTCCTAAAGGATCTAATTCCCCTCAAAACAATTTTATTGGATTCAAAATTGAATTGAAATGATGAGAGAACATTGAGAATGACTTTTGGTAATTTTGAGATTTTTTTTTGTTCGAGTAAAATTCGATTTATAAGATTCTTTTGGTTCCATGTGATGACTACCTAGCTTCACATGTGGGGGCCATGCCACGCCAGCTCCATGTCAGCACCATGTGGCTGATATCATCACATGGGTGGCATGAGTATAAGGTGGAGCTTGGATGCTTATGTTATTTGCATTTTGGTGAAGTTTATATTAATAACATGTGTGAGGACCTTGACACATGTGGTTGCCAACTAAGATCATGATCTTTTCCCAATTTTAAGGACTTGGGTCCAATTGAAATCAATCTTTCTAACCATATGAGATGTTGGTTTCTTTGATTGAACAAATGTGTGGGTGGGTTATGACAACACGTGTGAATTACAATAGTAAGAGAGAAAGGCGTATTGTTTTGAATTAGAGAAGCTAGAGTTAGAAAAATATGGAAAAAGGAGGGGCACGCTCCTACCAAGTGATCTCTCTCTCATCTTTATTCAAAGACCATGGGCATTTGTGTAAATGGCTTTATTTGAATTTTGAATTTTGAATTTGAAATTCAAAAGATAAAGAGGGAAATTTGGACATTGAATTTGGATTTAAGGGAATAAGGTGGCAAAATCTACACCACTCATCATGATAGCTTGATGTTAGGTGTAACCGTGTAAGGCTAGGATCAAGCCTATCTCACACCATAGATGCTCTACATTAATGGCTCACACTAGATCTAGGTTAAGGCTCCTATACTCTCGCTCTACTAGGACATGTATAACACCATAAACCCTAATCTCTTTCATCTAAGTTCATTCTCACCCCTTGAGGCTCACGTTGAGATTAGAGAGAGAAATAGAGAGAAAAGGTGGCACAGCCCCCATTGTTGCTTCTCTTGAGTTCAAGCTATGGAGTCCAATGGAGCGTGAAGCACCCAAGCCTTCCTAAATAAACCAACATCCCTCTTCTTGGCCTCTCCTTGCTGCATTAAACTCCTCCAAACAGCAAGGTATAAAACTTTCCATGGTCATTGATTTACTTGCTTCCATGCTCTACTTAAGTCTAGATGTGTTGGCATGACTCCATATTTTGGCATAGTTCTACCATCATCTCCATGAGCATTTCTTGAGATTATTTTCTGAGATCTTTGAGTTTATAACAGCAATATTTTTGCGTCCCTACATATCTCCAAACATTGATTTTACATGCCAAAACTATATCGAAACTTTGACTCCCACTTGCTTGACTCAAAATCCTACACAGTACTCCATTGCATGCCATCTATGTCACAGTGCCATCTCTCTTTTATGTGTGATTTCACATCAATCTCTCGTTTGAATTTCTTGTTCTATTTGAGAGAGAATTTTTTTAGAGAGCCTTGCATGCATTAGCTTCCCTAAAACTGGATTGAATTGACCCATTATCTTGTCTTATGCTATCAAAAGTGAGCATCGATATGGTGTGTGACTAAAGTCCCGTGGCAGCAAGCCAGGCAATTTGAGCTTTATTATTCGCTTTCCATGCTTAAGAGACCTCGATGCACATATTTGGTTGATTGTATGTTTTTTCAGGATTGACCTTGACTTGTAATTTGGTTTATGTGATTGGATGTATTATCTGAAGAGTTGTGTCGCTGAAATTTTCAAGTAAGTGGCGTAATTCGTGTAATTTGTCAAGCTCCAAGTGTCTTTTAAGGGGTCGTTTGGATACCTGAAAATATATTATTGTCTGTGAAATATATTACTGGCGTAATACATTACCTACAAATGGATTGTTACTGTTTGGGTAGTATTTAGATGCACCCTGGGAAATACATTGCTACTGTTTGGCTATGTCTGGAAGAAATATGGGAAATACATTACCAACGTTTTACCCACACTTGCCTATAAACTATCATTTCTTTCTTTTTTGTCACAAAATTCCACTGAAATGCAGAATTAAAGTCATCATCACACCATTCAAAAAAGATTTTCTAATAATAACATCATCACCATTCCAAAAATATTTTTTAATAATAACTTGTACCATTCTAAAGTCATCATGACACTATTTCCTATTTATTTTGCATACCTTAGGCACTTACATGGAATCATATGTCTTCTAACATGATTAGACTTTGGTTTCAACATGATAAGTCATTGGAATAACATGATTTTATTGTGATAAGCCTTATTTTTATTTATTTTTTATAGAAGTCTTTCAAATGTATCTCTATATAATTTCGAATAAACAATAAATTTATGATACCGAATTCAAAATCTTTATGGTACAAGTTAAAAAATGGAAAGAAGTTTGATTAGTAAAGTAGAAGGTTTGGTAATTGCAGTAGAAAATTTTTAGGCATTGGAGGAGACTAAAGAGGTATCTTATTTTAATTAAGCTTTTACTAATTTCTTATAAGGATTATGTTGTGTGAAATTTTTTATTATAATTGTATTGTATAATTTCTCATTGATTACCACTTATTATTTTTATTATTATTATTTTTATATAAGAGCTAATGGTTTCAGATGAGCGCTACAACCCAAATTAGGGATAGAGGGATGTAGAAATGGATGTGCGCAGGAGAGAGGGAGAATGGAAGGGCACAAGAGCGGTAGATAGAGGATTTTTTTTGGGTAAAAGACGCGCATAGTTAGATTACTCGTTAAGCGCATAATAGATTTCACAGCCATTTTGTGCGTAATAGATTCACGTATTTTGAAGAAATATTGCGTAGTTTATTTTCATTTTCTTACTATTGAAGTGTACCTAAATCTCATATGTCCTTGTAATATGTTTCACTGTAATAGATTTTCAGGTACCCAAATGGCCCTTAAGAGAACTTGTGTAGGACCCATAGTGAGGTGTTAAGTGTTGTTTTCAAGTATATGTAAAGGTGAACCTGTCATCACCATGAGGTCTATGTTGCTGTAAATTTGGCTTGTAAGGTATTGTATTTGGTTTAAGTTATTGAAATTGCAAAAGAAGTGTCCAAAAGGCTAGGCCTCTATACTTGTGCCCTTGAGGATCTGTTGTATTTTGTACTTTTGTTTTTTTCATAGCAAAGCTATAACAACTAGTAGAGTACATATTCTGATAACATTTGGAGAAAGTTTTGAGCAAGAGTTGATTGCGCATTCAGATTCTGTGAGATATATAACAGTTGAGTAGACCTTAATTTGGATCTTCTAAAACTTTATCTGTTGATTTTCTTTTCTATTTTCCTTTATATATATTTAGGTTTCTGACTTCAAGTTTCAACAGGTAGTCCAGCTTAAAGTTGATGGAGTTGCCTTCAGGTTCATACCTGATCATTCCCAGCTCAGGAATGCACTTAAGGTCAGTATATAAATTTGTGATGTCCAGAAGTACTAATAACTATTTTAGCTGATTTTTTATTGTAAAAGACAACCACTGATTCCATTTTTATAAGCATTTTATTGATGCCTATCAGTGACAAAAGTAGTTAAGTTCCGTCATGGATACTGACATGTTATGCTTGTTCTTTCAAATGTTATGGTCATTGTGGGAACTCATTTGATGTGCCTATGTTTCTTACCATAGTTTTAGAATGCGGCTGCATAATGTGTTATGCAATCCTGGAGCACCTCTCTCCAGGCTGCATATGTGGAAAAATGTGATGTGCTTTCATAAACGGTTCATGACCCGCATATGTGGCCGCATTGCATCGCGCGTGATGTGTGCTCTGTGCTCGTGGGTGGAGAAGAGGGGGACGGGTTTAGGGGGTATATAAAATGCACATACATACACCCATAATAAAAACCCACAAAAGAAAAAAGAAAAGAAAAAAAAACACATTAGAACCATTTTATATAGCTCTAGGGTGATTAAACCGGCATTGCCGGGAACCACAAGCAACCGATGAGATTGGAAGAGAGATTAAGGCATACAAAGATAGCCAAGAAAAGCAAAGAAAAGAAGAAAATATGACAACAAGAATTGATAGAAGAAATTGAAGTATTTGATGACTTGACCGATTGAGAATTGACAGTTGATTATCCTTTTCTTTTTTATGTCATAAACTTTTGGTCTTTTTCTCTTTGGAGTTTAAACTTTAAAGTTTAGAACTTTGGATATTTTCTATGAGATGGAGTCGATTGCTTTGTTTTATATGTTGTTTGCGTTAGACATTTAAACTATTAAAGGCAAGAAGTTAGAACAAAATACACTACTCAGAGTTTCAGATAGCTAATATTTATATAAAAATATCTATAATTACATAAAGTGTTATGTTAGGGTGCTCACACTATAGAACATTTTATAATTGTAAACAAATTTTAGACAGTTATATATTCTTCTTTTGTACATAGAGCATTTTTTTTAGTAAGGGTATTTTTGGTCATTAAGAGAGGTGTGACATCATCTATATGGGGTGTGACATCACTCATATGGAGCACACTAGTGGTATTTAATACTCCATGTAAGGGTATTTTTGGTCATTAAGAGAGGTGTGACATCATCTATATGGGGTGTGACATCACTCATATGGAGCACACTAGTGGTATTTAATACTCCATGTGGGTGACATCACACCTCATGTGGATCATGTCATGCCCCTCGTAATGACCAAACATACCCTTTCTAAAAAACTATTATATTACAAAACAAGGGTATATAAGTGTCCAGAATTTGTTGAGTACAATTATAAAATGCTCTATAGCCTGAGCACCCTAACATAACCCTTACATAAATCACATTTATGTTTTTTCTTATGCATTATTATATTTTTTGTACTTTTTAAATTTATTGGCTCCATTAGAGGTGATGCACCCGCATCGCGGCATCGGAACCCTGATCGCAGTGGGTCCGCATCATGCACTTTTAAAACACTATTCCTACCTCATCAATGTTCATGATATGCACTGCAGTGTTGATTACGGTGATAGTGCACATGCTTTTCACTTTTAAAATAAATTCTTGACCACCTTACTTCTACTATCTGTCAAGTGTTTTGCATTGTTTTCCAAGAAAGTTTGACGCAAGAAATAGTTACCGAGTTTTTGACGATGCGCTCGCTTTAGTATGATGTTTTGTAGTTCAAATCTCTAACTTCAATGGAGTGTTATTGCTTATTGAGTGCATGAAAATTTCACAGCATTTAGAAACCCCTTATTCTCTCAGGAGAAAATAACTCCACTAATTGTTGTCAAGGATAAAAGGAAAAAATCATCCCAATAATTATAAGCGGTTTATATGACTAAAATCATGGCCTAATCTGATTATTGGTTCGGCATGCGAAATTAGCCCTAATATAAAGTTTCTCATGTTCAGATGTTCACTTTCTATTCAATGAAAACTTGGTTTTTGGTCTGTGTCCTATCCCCATCTTTTTCTCCAAGAATCATTTTTATCTATACGAAAATTTTATTAAATGAATAATCTCATGTAGGTACAATATTTGAGGTGAAGTGTACCGTCTATATCTGGACTCTCACAATTGACACCCACATTTGCTAATGCCTTTGGTACAAAACGGCCTCTCTTAAAACATGATGAAAGGAAGTATTTTGTAGGAGCAAAAGATCTCTTGAAATGTCATCAACCATCTCAACAATGAAAAGGGATAAAAAGTCAGTGACCTTCTCCAAGGAACTTGCACTGCCTTTCATAAAGTGGATTTCCTTAAAAAAAGGGCATGTCTAATACATTGACTTATTTTTTCACTTCCATGCTTAAACAAATTATAAGAAAAGGGACTTTGTGATGAAGGTAGCCAACTGAATTATGACACCTGTTTGATTAAATTATATTTTCTAGGATTTTGGATGTAATGCTCCCTCAAATTTCACATGTTAAAATCAGTGTTGTTAAGTTTGCTTTGCTTCAGCCGAGGAGGCCGAAGCCTTCAGTTTTTCCCTCTGTGCCGAAGCAAAGCAAAGAAAAAAACCTAGTAATTCAGCTAGATTCGGTCGCTTTGGCCAGATTTGAATTGATTTGGCTGAAGAATGTGGATTTAGCCGAAGATGATAGGGGTAAACATGTAATTCTATGATGTTCCATGGGCATTAAAAAAAACCGGTAGCATTAAAATACTATGATTTCAAGCCATTTTAATTTTTAAGAATTAAAAGTTAAAACTTAAAAGTTAAAAATATTGGGTTTTCAATTCATAAGCCACTTTACGATCTGCTTCACCCTTCAAGCATTCAAGTCTTCAACTCTCCCGTTCGTTCTCCACTCCTCCCTCTTCCTTCACAAGCTCATCGGCCCCATTTGAGAATCATCATAATCCACATTTCACATATAAGTAGTAACAAAGTATTAACAAAATTATTTATTATTAATTATTAGCTTTTTAATTTTTAAATTTTTTACATAATTATAAAAATATTTTTATATTTATTTTAAAATAAAAACCAAAGTCTTCCCTCCGATAAGCCGAAGCACCAAATTTCTTCATTGTTTAGACCAAACTGAAGTAGGTTCCGAAGCGAATCTGACAACATTGGTTAAAATCAATTTCATATAAGATATAGAAAAATTCTACAAAAGATATCTCACAGCAATGAAGCCATATAACCTTTTTGTAAGAGGGTTCCTTCTTGGATTACCTCAAGTTGGATTTTGTGCCTTCCATTCCTTACAAGTGATTGGCTAGCCTACCATTCTGTTTTGTCACTAGAAGAAGAAACTAAAATACAATTTTTATTCCTTTGAACTGAATTAGCATATATTGAACTTGTCAAATGTTGCATTTTTCACAAATTGCAACTTCACTGTATGGTTTCCATTTTCTTTTGTGCCATATTACTTATTGTAGAATTTTGTTGTGGGGGTTTCATTTCTGTTTTGGGACTAAAAATATATTCCTTGGTGTGCCCTAAATCAGAAAGTAAAGGATCTCATTTCATTGTTGAAAAATAATTCTCGTATGCAGGAGAAGAAAAAGGAGGGGGTTCCTGCCCAGGATTTCTGTGGAGTCCCTGTTTTCAAGGTCTGATCCAGATACCCTTCTCAAAATCATGTGATGTGGTGTTCTCTTGGTAAATATATGCGCAACAGTATGAGCATTGGGTTCTCTTTTTCAGTGGTCTAGGAAAGTTGTTAACTCAGAAATCTCATGCCATGCACTTTTTCCATTTGATGATTCGAAATTTCCTCCAGTTATTTCTCTTGTTCTTCAAGGTCCATCCTGCCATGTGGAAGCTATTTTTTTTTTGTCTGATCTTTTTTGTTGTATTTTGGAAGTCTACAAGGTCTCTCTCTCTCTCTCTCTCTCTCTCTCTCTCTCTCTCTCTCTCTACTCTACTACACACACACACACACACACACACACACACACACTACACTACTACTACTACTACTACTTACTACTACTACTTACGTACTAG